AGACTCATTTTTGGTGGTCCTGGACATGGATGAGGGGACTTTAAGTTTTATCGTTGACGGACAATATTTAGGGGTTGCTTTCAGAGGACTCAAAGGAAAGAAGCTATACCCTGTAGTGAGTGCTGTGTGGGGACACTGTGAAATCCGAATCCGGTACATCAATGGACTTGATCGTAAGTATCATCCTTTCTGCTTGTTTGAATTTGCCTATGTTATCTGTCTGTTTTTGCATGGCTCCTTCAGTCGTCTCTTGAATAACAAGGTTAGCGCTGTCATTTGTTGAACGTTGAAAGTGGCTGGAGCTAGTGTCTTTGGAAGGCTTTGTCTCTCATCCTTTAATTACGTGAAACCAGCTCTGTTTACCTGATAAAGACCATGACATTATTCATTATCTTGCACACGTCCTGAAAGCTAATCATTAAACTGGCTGCTTTGCTCTGCTCTGTCCTTAAGTTTTCATCAGATTCCACTACCTGTGGAACATTTAAGAACAGACTTTCTTGCTATTATAAATATAAGTCGTTTCATCCATTATTATAGAGCAGCAAGCTTTTGTTAAACGGAGAAGTAGTGATTGGCCAGGCCAATTATTTGAGATTGTGAGAACTATGCCTGTTTAACAGAAGCATGTTATTTCACCGAGTCGGTTTCAAAACTCTGTTATGCCAGTCTTTTCGATGACTAAAACGTAATTTTTTTGTTGTTGTTGTTTTAGGATTTGATAGTGTGAGTAAATGTGTAATTAAAAAAAAAAATCATTGTTCACTTAAAATAATTTTCTCACTTATTACTAAAATCCTAACATTTTCATAATCTGACATTGTTAGGTCACTCATTCTAGTGACAACCATAGTTTTAACAGTTAAAAATTTACAAAACTTAATGCAGTTTTGTTATATTTTAAAGTATTTTATAGCGTTCTTTGGATTTTATGATAATACTATGTGTATTTGATACAAATGAATTTGAATTTATGTAAATTGTTCTAGACAATATTAATTCTCTTTGACATTAGTATATTGAAGTCAAAGCCAATTATTTAAGTTTTGGGAACATGTCTTTATCACACCTAATATTTTACTTGCACTGTAAAAATTTTTACACAAATGTATAGCTGCCTTTTTATATTTTAGGAATAGGGGTCCTTTGCATGAAAAAGTTTAACAAAACCCTTGCTCTAGATAGCTGATATGGCTGATGCAGAAGCCAACACTGATAGTATGCACACCCCCCCAGTTTAATTTCTTGAGTAGAAAAGGTAAAGGCCAAAGGTTTATAAATATTACTCCGTCATGCAAATGAGAACTAGCTAGTGTGAAATGTCTTTCCTAAAATTGTGCATTCTCACGGTTACATAATGTTTTTGCTAGTAGTTTCTGCAAATCTGACTCATTTCTGCAACCCAGCATGCTGTAATGAGTCAGTTTTGGAGGACATTCTCGTGATGTTATCATTCTGTGGTCATATAATGAAAGGATGCAGGTGAGGGCTAGACTTACTCATGTCTGGGCTTCTTGGGGACAGCTGTAACCCACTTTACTCTCAGTGGAAACAGTCTCCGGGCCACTCATGATGCCCTGTCCAATGGAATACATGTTTTATCACCTTGATGTTTTGCATGCCATCAGGTGATGGAATGACTCTTAAATGTCTTTCCTGAGTGTGCCATGTTTAGCAACATTTTATGAAGGTCTGGGAAGTATTGCTGCAGCCTTAATGCATCAGTTCAGGACACAGGTGTTCCCATTTTTGGAGAATTCTCATCCCTTCTATGTGTGAGAGTAGCCAGAGTATTACTCAGCCTCTGACTCCAAGGACTTGGCTTCCTTTTGTATCTGTCTTGTGTCAGTGCCTTTAATGCATTCCTCATAATTGCGGTCAACAGAGGTTATACTTGGGGTTGTTATATGGCTGGACTAAAGGGGACCTGTGGGGAAACTTGTAATGCTTTAAGCCAGGTGCACACTGTATGATTTTTTTTGGACCCAGTTTCTTCTCTTGGTAATTGTAAAAGCAAAATCGGCAGTCTTTATTCGCTCAGCATTAGCTGATGAATTGCTTTTGTCAGTTTTGTAACCTAAGGGTCAAATATCATACATAAATTAATATTTCTTCAACTTTTAAGAAATTTTGGCCCCGTGGACTTCGACAACATCCTAATCATAACGTTATAGTAACACATGCTTGCTCTTAAAATGGTTATGAAATGGATTAAAGTTATTTCATAATTTTTCCTGAGGTGCACTTATGATCTTATTTTTTTTATATGAAAAAGTAATTTAGTCATTTTTTTTAGCCTAAATTTAGCCCTTTGATTTGAACGCACTGTTGAAGTCTCCCAACAGACACGCCCCTTCCAATATAAACACCCACTGTTCTCAGGCATTTGGCATTTACCCCAAGATCTTAGGAAGGACAGCCTACACCTAGCTTTACAAGCTTGTGCAGTATTTGTGAGTGATCCTAATAATGAATTTCTGTCTGTCTTTCACCCCCTGTAGCTGAACCTCTGCCGTTAATGGACCTCTGTAGGCGCTCAGTGCGGGTCGCGTTGGGAAGAGAGCGACTGAGTGAAATCCATGGACTGCCCTTACCTGCTTCCCTTAAGAACTACTTGCTCTACCAATGATGATTTGTAGTGCCTTTACTACCATTCAAGGCATAGTGTCCACCTGTATTTCTCTCTGGGATTAATCTTTCTGGCAAGCCTGTTTCATTACGTCTTTGTTTGGTTTCGGTGCCATTCTTGGTCACTGGGCATGGTACCAACAATATTTTTTACAAATCAGACTGAGGACGTCTCTTGCTTGATGCTTTCAGGATCAAGTGTGGCATGGTCTCTCGTTGCTTCACTCATATACTGGAAATCCACCCTGAAGGCTTCCGCCGGAATCTAATGGCAGATACGAAAACAAGAACCCTTCTCCTCTCTAATCTTGGCTTAGTGAAACTTCAGCTGTTTATCAGGGCCTTTTCCTTATGTTTTTTTTATTTTTTTTTTTTAAAGTCCCTCCCCCTTTTTTTTTTTTTTTTTTTAAAGTCCCTCCCCCTTTTTTTTTTTTTTTTTTTAAAGTCCCTCCCCCTTTTTTTTTTTTTTTTTTTAAAGTCCCTCCCCCTTTTTTTTTTTTTTTTTTTGGGGGGGGGCGCATACCTTAAGCTTTCTTGTATCATGTCATTAACATAAGGGTCCATATAGCGACTCTGCAGGCAATGCAAAATACATTACCTTCTCAAGACCTTTAGGCTTAACAACCAGCAAGTTTTTATGTTGATAGACATTTTTATACGTTTTTCAATTGTCCTTACCCTTGCAGTCATTATAATAAAGTAGCTGAGTCAATCACCATGGTTAGCAGGTTAGCAAGTAGACAACACTTACAATGTCTTCCCTTGCTCACTCTTGGCAGGTTAAAAATAGCCTGGTTTTAGCTGCAAGTCTGACTGTCTGACCTGGAAAAACAGTCTTTGACGTCTGTGTCTGTGAGGGGGGAGTTGAGAGACTAGCATTCATGGAAACAACCACAGCTAGTTTTATGCTAGCTTTTTAAATTACTCAACGAGTTCCTCTCCTCTGTTCACACTGCAATATCTGAAGTGCCTGGCTCGTGATACTGGTATATTAAGAGAAAGCCATGATTTGAAGTCCTTTTTATATTAAATTAAATATTGCATCACTGTGAAACTATGTAGCATACATTAATCAAAAAGAGGTTGTATAGCGTGCTTTCTGTAATGGCCCCTAAAATCCTGTGAACACCCATATCCTACAAATAATGTTTGCCTGTTTTATTCTTGAGGACTGTTTTTAACTTGTTGATTTGTTGAGAAAAGCAAGGATGGAATAGTGACACTGCTGTGTGGTGCCTTGTCTATGAGATAACCATGTCAAAAGTGACACTAAGGCAAATGTTGATGTTTCTTTGCTCTTTTAAAGTCTTGATGCAGAGAAGGTAAGATTGCTGAATGTCATTTGTTTTCCAGATTTTTTTTTTTTTCCCCATTCTAGTCTTTTAGATGTGTAAATGTAGTTCATGTTTGGCAGCCATTTTGCTGAGCATGAGGGGGATAGTTTGGTTCAGTTTTTAAATCCTTTCTGCCTGCAGACCACCATTCTCTTTGTATTCAGTGATGTAGATAATATTGGTAACTATCTAATAAAGTTGATTATAATTGACATCTTTTCTGTTTGTGGTTTTTATTCTCCTAAAAAAAAAAAACGAAGTTATTTTTTCTTATTTTCCATTTTATATCTTTTTGCAATTGAAACAGGAGGTTTGGCTGGGATTTTTAAAAATATTTTATTTATTAAATTCACATTTAATTGTTACAGACATGAATCATGATTTGCAATTGCAAATGGTATTGGGGGGTGGGACATTTGTTTGGACAGCAGTCTGTACAGGATAAGTCATCACTGTTTTTAGAAGTGAAGACTACATTTAAATATGTATATATCTGCTTTTCAGGGTCAAAGCTAACAGACATGAACTGAAAGCCTTGATTTGACAACTTGATTTGTCTGTCTTGCCAATAAAGGGTTAGTTCACTGCTGTCAAAATGGTTTTAATAAAAGTTGGCTGTGTTTGCAGTAGAAATGCAAAAAAAAAAAATAATAAAGTTGATAAATCTGTGCTATATGACTACAGAAAACAGGAAAAAGGTAGGAACCTTTAACACCCGGTTCATCGGTTCTTTTACGCCCTAACGTAATAATGACGTCATTCGCGATGACGTAATATCAAGTCTATCGTCCCGGGCCGGGATGAAAATACACATTCAAATATATAAAGTCCGTAATCATAACTTCAGTCAGTTAAAACATCATAATCATGATCTGAAAAGTTTACAAATAAGTTTTGAAACTAAGCACCCAAATACAGTAACAGGCAGTGATGTGCATATAAAGTAAATAAATTAGTTGTCATCAGTGCATAAACCATAATCCACTTAGCCTACTATACATAATCCATTGCGATTTATTTGTTATTAAATAAATTTACGTTTCGCCAGATTGCCCTTCATTCAAGTCTTCGGTTTACCCGCGCTCATAACATTAGCACAGAATCAGTTGTCCAATGGCGCTTTTCCACTGCGTGGTACGACTCGGCTCGGTACGGCTCAGTTCGGCACGGTTTGCGTTTCCACTGCAGTTCAGTACCGCTTTAGAGTGGGCGGGATTATTCACATGTCGTTATAGTTGCGCCGCCTCTA